TTGAAAGACGTTTCAATTACCTGACAAGATTTAATGCACGTGTAGCTAAGCCTCATTATGAACAGAATAGTTTGGGGGGGGGGGGTTAAGGATGGAAGGGGTTACGCTTGAGAGTTCCATGTGAACGTACCGAATACAGTACGTACAAGAGTAAAGCAAATGTCAATCCACTGCTGGATGAAGGCCTCCTTGGTTGGTCCCTTGACCATACTTCACCACACATTGGTCGGTGCGCGTTTAAGTGGCTGGGTGACAATTGCCGGTTCATTTTCAGATATCGTCACTCGCCACCTAACGCTGAGAGCAGTGACCTGGAATCGAACTTAGGTTGGGCCACGTGCATCCCATAGTTGCGTGAACCAGTGCGTTAACCACCGATCCACCACTACAAAGACAACGATTCCCACCGAATAGCATTTAAACGCACTGTTGGGGCAAGTGCCGTTAGCGTGCACCTTTGAAGGCAGGCACGACACCCACTTGGCCAGCAACCACGCCCGACCGCCTTTGTCTCCCCAGTGGCGACGTTTACTACACACCGCGCCAGGTACTCATTCGAGGCCCAGGGACCGGTTCAGAAAATCGTCACCGGTGTTGATCGTGAGCGGCAATCGAACTCGGGTTCGCCGGGGTTCAGCCGGCTAACGCCATCACTTCCAAGCCCAGCCAAACACAACGTGTGGTGGTGCATCACGAAGTCGCACTAAGAGAGAGAGAGAGCCCCATTCTTGTGAGTATCGGTTGGCCTGGAGGTACCCGGAGGCAGGCCGTGTCGCCCGCAAGTCAACGGGGTAGACAGATGCCGCCTTGTTCGCCCCGTGCTCTTCATTGCAAGGCCCGAGGGGGCCTTTAGTGCGGCCCCTGACGGGACCCCGACAATACACAAATGGTGAAAACATCCCCCCCCCCATCATCATCATTGTGCCGCTGTCAACCACCCCCCCCCCCCCCCCAAATGGTTTCAAATGGTGTGGTGGCCCAATCACACTGATGATGTCTTATCGTCGAAAGTGCCCCACCACCACCACCAGTCTCTCCCAATGAAAATGTAGCGAAGAACGCTGCTGGAGACAGCCGCATTGTCTGGTGATGGCCGAGCAGTGTCAGAGAGCCAGGGAAATCGTTTCAAATTAAAGTTTTCGTTGTGGCTCAACGCAGTCACAATAGACCGTCCCGTACCCCCAACACATTACAGTAGATACGTGTACACACACACACACACGTGTACACACACACACGTGCGTGTGCGTGTTTCGAAGTGATAACAGTAAGCATACATCTTGAATGAAGTGGCACGTTATTTCACACAAGCTCTTTGTTGTTGCGTCTATAATGAATGGCTTCAGGGCATGTGCCAAAGCACTTTTAATTAATTGCAATTGGTCAAACATTCCAATTGCAGTACTCTCCTGATAAAAAAAAAACAGTATTGAGATTCGATGCAGCTTTCCTGAGATATATAATTGCTCTTATTTATTATGATGATGATTCTTATTATTTATATTAATATACTGCTGCCCGACGTTTAGTTTCAATCAAATTAAGTAACAAGACAAGAAACGTAATTAACATGGGATCTGGTTTCAGTCGCTGGGAGGAAGAATACGGTCTCGACGTTTCGGCTGCAGAGCCTTCACGAAGGTGAGAGTTTATTGTGAGACAGTGGGATGTACACACGTGATGTTCCTATAAAGGACGGCCTAGTGATTGTTGATCAGTACGATTTATATCAAGGGACTAAAACATGAAATCTTCGACTTTGCAATCAACTAATTTCGCATGGTGTGAAACGTCACGCAAAAAATAGCGGAAATTCCATTGGCTGTGGCTTCACTGAACAACTCACAACGTCCGTCGTTATCCCCGCCTCGGAGCAATTCATAACGGGGTGACGTTTCGGGAAACGGCCCCTCTTCAGAGTGCAGAGAAGGCCAGATATGTGAACATAACTCGGCGACAACGAAGACACTGGCGTGGCACTGGCGTGGACCGTTCCGTGAGACGAACCGACTAAATCTACCCCCGTGTCACCGTGTGTGTTCCTCCGCGAAATTCGAAATGACACCAGCATTGTGGTGTTAGGCTTACCATCGGGCTCCCATGCCGATAGGGCACAACTGCCGAGGTTACGTGCGGAGATACGGGACGCAACTTCGCAGTGACGATTATTATTATTGACAATAAATGCCAACCCGCTGCTGGATTGAGGAGGCGACCTGAACTCCTTAACCATACTTCACCACGGATTGGTGAATAGGGAGGTGGTTCGGAGAGCGGTGGTTTGGTGGTGGGAGTGATAGATTGGACGGCTGGACACATGCACTGCCTCCCCCCCACCCCTGCTCGTGTTGACCCCGACCGAGAATCCAACTCGGGGTCAGCTTTACAGCAGCGCGTTTGGACTCGCCACTGACTCGCCACAGCTCCAGCCCGTGCCCACCAGTTGCAGTGCGAGCTGCGCGATAACTTGATGGTGGTGGCCCTACGCGTTAACCTTTAAAAAAAAACATTTTCTGCTTTTGCGTGGCTCCCGACGCGGTTGAGCGTTCGCAGCGGTGGCGGTGGACCGCGTGAACTCCTCCCGGCGCGTAATAAGCTGGTAGTGAGAGAGAGAAAGAGGGCCCTCTCTCTCACTGGGGGCAGTGAGAGAGAGAGGAGGGCCCTCTCTCTCTCTCTCACTGGGGGCAGTGAGAGAGAAAGGAGGGCCCTCTCTCTCTCACTGGGGGCAGTGAGAGAGAAGGAGGGCCCTCTCTCTCACTGGGGGCAGTGAGAGAGAGAGAAGGAGGGCCCTCTCTCTCTCTCACTGGGGGCAGTGAAAGAGAGAGGGCCCTCTCTCTCACTGCCCTCGCCCGGTCGCAGTTTTCACCACGCGCGTGTGCGCGCGCTCTCTTACGGGTAATAGGGGGGGAGGGTTACGCGCCACGTTAATGACATCGTAAAAATAGCGGCTGTTTTCTTTTTGAGAGTCGTGTTAAAGTGTGGCCCACTCCATCCACCGCTAACGACGCAAACAACTCGCTGTGAGATCGCGTCTCTTCAGCGACCGACAGAAGAGGCTAACCGCGACTCATGAATTAATCGTCAGCCGAGCAGTGCCGCAGTGGTCTCTAAGAACCCGCTGTGCCGAGAGGTTCCATTCCAGGCCACGGTTATGTGTTATTGGTGGGTGATATCCGTACGAGTTCCAACTTCCTATACCCTTCCACCAGCCGGCTCTAACCAGCGTGGTGAAATATGACCAAACTAATTCCGCGGGATCGACACGCCGTCTGGGGTTTTAAATCCAGCAGTGGATTGACCAAGAGCTGGAACGTGTTATTGTGTTGTACGCACACTGTACAGAAATACGCATTTTATATATCTCAAAAGAATATAAACATGTCACATTCGCACACCACTCGGTCATCTAGAACAACAACAACGCAGCGTAAGAGCGACGCAAGGGGGTGAGGTCAGCATTAGGCCCTTGACAGGTACAAACACTGCCGGATTAAGCTAGTGCGGGGCCCGTAGCATACGTTATGAAGGGGCCCTAAATAAAAAAAACACACGTAAATATGAAAACACAAATATTTAACTTGCATAGTCAAGTTATTGTATTTTTTCATTTGCTATACAGACAGATAATACGACAAATCGATAACCTTAAACACCCGGTCGTTCACAAAAGTTGAAGGCGGTATAGTACTATAGTAATAGAGCGAGTGCAGAATCACTGAACCGAAATTGATAGCTGGAAAGCGTTTAGCGCGGGGCCCCTTGAAAGTGCGGGGGCCCGTAGCATTTGCAGCTACTTGTACTACTGGGATAATCCGGCACTGGGTACAAAACGATGGGTCCCCGGTAATTAAGAACAAGAGTGCGCTGTGTAGGGCCACACGAATCACACGCACGCAACGTAACCAGACTGCACCTCGAGACGTGAGCCTGCCGCCTCCACGCAATGTTTCACCCTCCAACGTGTACGTGTGTCAGTATGTTGAACTTCTTTCGCACCGTACGTAGGCAGAAATTCGTTTTCAATCTAGGTTTAAAAGTGCACCATAGCTCCAGTGGCTTCCTAATATAGGAAAGGAAGAGACCCATCGAGATCCCACAGAGATTCATAGGGGCTCAATAAGAACTACAGAGACCGTCAGAAACCCACACAGACCTATAGCGACCCCTACTCATATACATGCGCATGTTGAACCTATTATGCAGCCTACGTAGCCAACTGCTCTAATCGGAGATGCGGGGCAAGGACAACAACACTAAACATAACAAAAACAATTATAAATAAATGAGTTTTCAATCTAAATTTAAAAGTACAATATCTCCCAGTGGCTTCCTAACTTCGCAACCCCAACTCGCTCTCACTTACTCCACCAAATTGCGCAACCAGAGATGTTGTTATTTTGTGTATACCCCATTGGGCGTCCGAGGTTTACCGACAGCATATTTCTTCTCGTTTGAATAAACCACAGCACCCTCGCTCAAATATTACAAAGACAACCGCAATGTCTCCCTCCTCCATCCCTCACCCCCGCGCGCTCCCCTATAGCCGTACAGATTATTGGGGCCAAGTGCTGTTGGCGAGCACCTATCAAGTCGCGAGCAGCGTGGGGATGCTGTGGTCAGCACTCACGCCTCGCCACATTAATAATACATTAGGCACACACACACACAAAGATCCCCCAGGATAGTCTGAACAGACTGTTGGGGCAAGTGCTACGAGCGAACACTTATTAAGACCGACACGGCACACGAAGACGTGGGGTGCCCTGCACCGCGCCAGGCTGCATTTGCCTCCCAGTGCCAATGTTTTACACCCTCGCACCAGGGCACTCATTTAAGGCTGACTCGACCTCGTCGATACGTAGAAACAGACACGTAAATGCATACATACACGCACATCCATAGACAAAGACGCAAGGCAGCGCAGATGCGACAATGAAAGACATCTCATTGCCTCTGCTCCTAACGTTCTGCGCCCATCACAGCACCTATATAGTACTTACATTGGGGTGGACCGTTAGTCGATAGGAAGCAACTGAGCCAAACGCTGCTGCTGCTGCTCTCTGCGAGTATACGTGGCGAAGTTCCGCGCAAATCTTTCCCCGGCTCTACCCGCCACCTCCTCCTCCGACGACGACACCGCCGCTGTTGAAGCGGCCCCGTCCCGTGGTTGCGACGCGCCGCTCTGAAACGACGGCCCTCTGGGGCGAATGTCCGTTCGCTCTGCGAGGTTCTTCTGCACGCGTGGGTTGTTGTCTTGCCTGGCTGGTCTCTCTCTCTCGCTCTCTCACTCGAGCGAGCGAGCACTCTTAAAGCTGCAGCTAGCAAGATAAGGAAGCCTATTTTGGCGTTTCGATCAGCTCGGTGATTAGAGGAAGGTCTGTGTGGGGTTTTTTTCTCTCTCTCTCTGTTTCACGGCCGTGGCCTTAAAATGCAGAAGCTGCCGTTGTCCCGACGATGCTGCTGCTGCAGCTCGCTACTTGCTACTGTTACTGCACAAACGCCGCACCATTCGGTGGGATTTCGAAGGGCTGGGTTTCCAATTCGGGATAACGGGCGCTCGGGTTGTTTTGTTAAGTTATAACAAAAACAGCGACGTGGCTAGGGTAAATTATCGTGTAGGCATAGTACACTACTTTATACACAAATTCATATTTAAAAAAATAACTTTCTCCGTACAGCCTTTAATAGACTGTTGGGGCAAGTAATGTTTGGAAGGCCGGTACTCTAACGAGGATGAGTGGCCAACATCACGCACGGTCAAGTTTGTCTCCACAGCGCTGATGTTTCCTACAGACCGCACCAGGTACGACTTAAGGAAGACCAAGAACAGGTTCAAATATTCGCCACCGACGTTGACTTCGAGAGCTAGATCTGAACTCAGGTCGCCGGGTTCGTTTAGTGCGCTAGCCATTACGCCACTGCTCCCCACAATCAATACACTTTTTATACACACACAATGGTGGCGCAGTGGTTAACACATTGCAACTATAATTCCGGCGACCTGAGTTTGAGTCTCGTCCACGGCTAACAAACATCAGCGGCGAGTGGGATATGAACCGGTCCGGTGGGCCTCCATCTTCTACCACTCGCACTGCACAGCGTGGTGAAGTATGGTCAAAACAACTCCCATTTAGCGACATGCGGCGTGCAGGTAAGCCTTCACCTCAACAGTGGATTGACAGAGGGCCGTACGTTATTGTGAGTTTAATACATGCAACAACGTGCAGCCTCAGTTCAAGTCCAGGGTTAAGACCTTCCCCTCTCCTATGCCGGACTGACTGAATACTCCATCTATTCACGCGTCTAATTCAATACAAAGGAAGTCTCTCCAACTTGCTGATTTTGTATCAAAATATATATAATTCTGCCCGAGTCCCCACGGTCCCATAATACGTGTATCGTTTTTCATGCGAACAATCACCATGGGATGCGAACGCATTAAGTAAGCCTTCTTACTCCTTTAAAACCCATCGTTGTGTATGTTTTGTATTACGCGGATTAAATAATCATAATTGCATTATTGCGATGCAATAACTGCAAATGTCTTGGGGTTTTCTACCCCAGTCCGACTTTCATCCTCGATGACCTCACCCACAAATAAAACTGAACACGCGTGCCGTGCTCCGTGTCAATATCTCACTCGATGCTGCCTTACAATACGTCTGCTATACTGCAGAACATAAGACGACAGAAGGCGAGCAAGGATCGCCCACAGGACAAACACATGAACGTTCTAATGAATCAAAACGTGGCCTCATCTCGAGATTAAAACACTCTCTCGAAGCAAATATAATAATCAAATACAGTACACATTTTTGTTTGTAAAAGTTATGAACCGTCAGCCTCATCTCGAACCTCCTTAAGCACAACCAGTCCCCGTTGTTATTGGGTGATCGCGAGTTTCGCTCATTCTCATTTCAAGACAGAGCCATCAAACGGCGAAGGCGCAGCGCTGCAATTGTTCCGCTCACGCCACTGCTGGCGGAAGATGCCTCTCCACAAGAAGGAGCATTAAAGAGTTTCTCTCTTTCCCGGAGGGTATTTATGGCCTACACTTCCACGCTGACCAGCAGGGTACTGTTGGTATCGTTGGGAGAAGCCCACATTTTGCAACAGTACACGCGCGACTTTGCCAGTCGACTAACTGTGCTGCTGCTGGTGGTTGAACTCGTGTCTACTGCTGAGTGGACAGACAAGAGGAGACGGAAGATTTGAAGACACTTACCCATGGTTTCAATTAACGCGCCGGGGGGTGGGTGGGGGCGAAGGGGTCGAACCTGCCACCTCTGTGGGTCGTAATTCCAGCGTGCTGCTAACCAGTACAGCCTCTTATTGCCACGTACGTGGAGAGACCACAGGGAGCGAGACGGCGGGGCTGGCATAGATGCGTGGGTCGCCGTATCATCGAGTCCGTGTCGCGACAGGAATCGTGCCGTACCCTGTACGCGGCACAAGACCCTCGTGTGCTACACAGCGCCACGTGTTTGTCAACGCTTTAGCTATTGCACAACCACGGGGGTTCTATTTGTGGGGGGGGTGGGAGGATGGAGGCACATCACGTGTCCTATACATCTGGTTGAGTCAGAAAGTGTTGGTAAACGTGAATGAGCTGACCTCAGTACAGTCACGACGGGTAAGTGAAACAACTAAATAAATATTGTTTTAATCAATCTACCTATTGGTTAACTTTTTTTCAATAACAGTCGTCCATAACACTGACCTTAAAATGGCGGGAAAAAATATACACTAGGCGACGTTTCGGGCAATTTATCTTCTTCATAGTACATTGGCTTTCCAGACCAAATATTATCCAGCAGCGTGTGCTTAGGCCAGGCAAACTCCCGGACCGGTTTCGATCTCCTGGGTCTCATCAGCAGAGTCAAGTTCGTTCAAGAAAATGCCGCTGTTTTCCCCAGATGCGTTTTGGCCACGAGCACTCCATTTGCGAGTGGTAAGGGTAGTCGGGGAGTTGGGGAGGCGACTCGGGGTGGTTATCGGACCCTGTGGGAAAGCGCGCAATTCGCTCGCCGCATCGAGGCGCAGTAATGTATTTATTCAAAACGTAACTACTTTTTTTTATTTTACCCGGCTAAGGCCCACTGAGCTGTATAGCTCTTTTTTTCAGAAGCGTCCTGGCCACAAATGATAGCTCAACAAAGTGGATGATGTTGATTTTTTTTAGCAGCCAAATACAATGAACACACGTTTGTAAAATGTGGAGGGAAAACCCCGGACGACACGGAGAGAAAAAGAGCACGCGACCACGGGGAGAGAGACACGCACACTCCAAATATACAGGCATCAGGATTGGGATCGAACGCACAACCTGCTGTATACCAGGCGTGGTAGTTAACATCTCGCCACCGTGGCGTCCGTGTTACACGGGCTGGCGTTACAACGCCGAATCCTCGCACACCATCTACCCCGTGTGTGCGTGTCTGTCTGCAAGGGCCTCCCCTAGGTCGATTCAGCCTAAAATCAGTAGCTGGTTCTGCGCGTAAACACCGCCGCTTGGGAGACAAAGGCGGCAGGGCGTGGTGCTGGCCACCCACCCCCTCGTGTGCCGTTCCGGCCCTTCATAGGTGCCGGCTAACAGTTCTTTCCCCAACAGGTTATACGCGGGATATTTGTATCTGTTTTGTATCGTTATCATCGTCTATATTTACTGTCTATGCCTGTATGTTATGTTTGTCAAAGCGACCCGGCGTGATGCTAGCCTTACCAACCCCTTTTGCGCCGTTCTGACCTTAATAGCTGCTCACTAATAACACGCGCCTGGCCAGTCCGTGTGGCTGGGCTATACGCGGAATCTTTGTCTTATTTGTGTATATATGTTTGAGACCGTTGTATATTCAAGCTCCACAGGCGGTCAAAACGTGTTGACAGTGACATCGTTTGCTAAATATATACTGCGACGTTTTGTCGTCGTTTGAATCACGGTTTTCTGGACACAAACCCAAGTGTCCAAAAACGCCAGACGACCGGCAATGAACAGCATTATTGACGGTGTTAAAGGATAACAGTTGTGATGCGTTGTGAATACGTTTCTCGAATTGAGCGAATTAATAAAGAACCTGTATCGGGGGGGGGGGGGGGGGGGGTGACGAGATGATGAGAGGGATATTTTTTTCAAACTGGGAGCGGTGCGAGGGAATACAGCAGAACGAGAAGAAGGAGAAAGGGCTGTCACCTGCAGTGTGGTGGTTGAACACAGCGTGTGGATGAGACGAAATGAATCTGGCAATTTAACTCAGGTTAGGCATATCCTGGAGACATGTACGCAATGGATCAGGTATACAGTACCACGGATGTAATCTTGACACACGAAGTAATGGGTTATTAAATTCCACAAATATATTTTCTCGTTTTCCTCCTCATTAACGACATGCAAATGCCCCACCCACGATGCACAGCACCAAACCAGCCAACCCTGACCAGCCTCCGGCCCAAGGGGTGCAGCACTCAGAACGAGATTCGAACTTGGCCACATCGCTTCAAAGGCCACCACCCTGTGGGTGACATCGCCGAGCGGGCGAGAGGGGGAACGGATCGTCTGTGGAGGGATGAGGTGGGGGGGGGGGCTTAGTTGAGGGATGGGGGGGGGTCCTAGCAAGGGAGGGATGGTGCGGTGAATTGGGTACCAGTGGTGGGGGCCGGGAGAGAGGTGGGGGCTGGCTGGAGCGAGAGGGGGGAGGGGTAAGGAGAGAGATGAGTATGAAGGGGGGCGGGGGAGATGGAGGGGGTTTGAGCAAGGGTGGGGGGGGGAGAAGGGCATGAGTATAAGTGGGGGGGTCGGGAGACGGGAGGGGCTGGCTGGGGCGAGGGGGGGGTCAGGAGGGAGATGAGATGAAGATGGGGGGGGGTCAATTGAGGGGTGGTGGGGTGGGGTCCTTACTGGGGGAAGGGAGGGAGGGGGTGTGAGAGTGAAGGAGCGGAAGGACTGTGACTTGCCCCTTGGCCGTGCGCGCCCTCGCTCCTCCGAGGCGTGCGGACCGAGAGGAAACTTTTTTGCAGGAAATCAGATTACTCGCGCAGGAAATAGCTGCATGCTGCTGATAAACCACCTGATGGGAACCCACCAAACGCTAATCAATCAAACTCTTCTCCCCCCCCCCTCCTCTCGCGCCTGCGAGCGCGCGCGCGCTTGTCCGCTCATTCAAAACAGCCGCCTCTCTCTTTGACATATTCCCGAGGCAGATTTAATACTTTTAAGAGTTCGCGTTTTGTTGTTGATTTTGTTGTTGTTGTTGTTGCAGCAAGAAAGCAACGCGGCTATAGCGGATCGCGTTAATGCGCTCGACAACTGCCAAACTCGCAAATATGAACGAACTACACGTCCACGCTGAGCTTTAATCTTGCTGGCTGCATGCCCCCCCCCCCCCCCCCCCCCCCCCGACAATGCCACGTTTATATACAAGCGCGTTTCGACTTTCACATTACAACCGCACGTGACTTTGTCGCTGCGTATCTAACTATCGTCTCTTTAAGCACATCTCACAACAAATGTAAGATCGACATTGGTTCACCCCTTTGGTTTAACTTGGTATGCGTTTGCCCATTGCTGCAGGGGTGGAATATTTTTTTTGTTATCTCTCTCAAATTAAAACTACGTAAAAACATGTTTTTTTTAATACATATATATAAAATCAAGTCGGTTGAATTCCAAGAAATTTACCAACGGGCGCACGCAACGCTGTGAACTCAACTAGCAGCGAGCGGAACACGAGGTCCGGGCGCATTGCGATTGAATTCTCGACCTCTTCTGCCGAGCCCGTTGCGGTCAGAGAACATCTGCAGACATTGTCACGAAAGCGGCCTCCGATCGGCTTGAACGGGAATCTAACTCATCCCAAACCGGCGCATCTCCCGTGCCTCGAGCTCAGGCCACGTAACGGCTCCTCCGAGCTGGAGGCCGCGCGGCTGCTGTACTGCTTGGACGTCTGT